CGTGCTTCCTCCGCTCTCCCCGCCTCACTCTCACAGGAGTCCCCAGACTCCACCCCGGGCGCTCCCGGTCCCTGCTAGGCTGGGCTGCTCCGGGAAGTTTCCATGAAAGCACCTGAAGCACCGAGTTACCTTCGCCAGGTGAGCGCGGGCGCGAGCAAGCCCTGCTGGGTGCCGCCGAGACCCGAGCGCTGCGCTGCGCAGCGAGGCTGAGAAGGCCCTGGACGGGCGGCGGCGGCGTGGCTTCCTTCCCCATGGCTTCCCCCCCCATGGCTTCCCCCGGAGGCCCCGGCGGCGACTGCTCCCACATTATTGACCACAGCCACATCCCCGAATTCGAGGTGGCCACCTGGATCAAAATCACCCTCATCCTGGTGAACCTGGTCATCTTCGTGGTGGGCATTCTGGGGAACAGTGTCACCATTCGGGTCACCCAGGTGCTGCAGAAGAAGGGCTACTTGCAGAAGCAGGTGACGGACCACATGGTGAGCCTGGCCTGCTCGGACATCCTGGTCTTCCTCATTGGCATGCCCATGGAGTTCTACAGCATCATCTGGAACCCCCTGACCACGCCCAGCTACAACCTGTCCTGCAAGCTGCACAATTTCCTCTTCGAGACCTGCAGCTACGCGACACTGCTGCACGTGCTGACGCTCAGCTTCGAGCGCTACGTCGCCATCTGCCACCCGTTCCGCTACAAGGCCGTGTCCGGGCCCTGCCAGGTGAAGCTGCTCATTGGCTTCGTCTGGGTCACCTCCACCCTGGTGGCGCTGCCTCTGCTCTTTGCCATGGGAGTTGAGTACCCCCTGCTGCACGTGCACAACCACCGGGGTCCCTCCTGCAACCGCTCGCTCACCCGCCACCACCGGCAACCCGAGACCTCCAACATGTCCATCTGCACCAGCCTCTCCAGCCGCTGGACCGTGTTCCAGTCCAGCATCTTCGGCGCCTTCGTGGTCTACCTCGTGGTCCTGGTGGCCGTGGCCTTCATGTGCTGGAACATGATGCGGGTGCTCAGCAGGAGCAAGCAGGGCACGCTGGCCGCCAAGGGGCAGCAGGCCCAGCTGCGGAAGTCGGAGAGCGAGGAGAGCAGGGCGGCCAGGAGGCAGACCATCCTGTTCCTGAGTGAGTCCCGGGGGAGGGCAGCCTGGGAGCAGACCCCCCCCCCACTCCTTGTGGTCTTCACTGGAAATCTTGTCTTAAAAGTGTACACTTAAGTTTTTGAGGCTGCAGAGGCATTGATCTGAGCCTCTGGATGTGTTTACTGTGTGTTTGGGGGATTAAGATTATGGTGAAAAGAGCACTAGATCTGGAGTCAGAAGGACTGGGGATGTCCCAGAAGAGCACCTCTGGGATCTGCAGCCAGTCACAAAGTATCTTGGGTAAAATGGGTCTGATAATACTGAGACATGTGAGGGTCAAATTAGGTAATGCAGGAGAGGTGAAAGTCCTTTGAGAAAGACCAAGTTCTGCAGAGATAAGGAGCGCATTCGTATCTTGTCCCTCTTTCCCCTGGAGAACCTTTCTCAGGCAGTTAGATTGTCTTCCCAGTTTTCTTCTTTGGAGAAGCAAGACTGTCAGGAAAACACTCTCCAGGCTGCTACTTTGTTCCCAGAGGTGATCTCCTACCTGGTCTTAAGAAACTGGGGCTCTCAGACCAGCTCTCCCAGGGTGCGGCTTGAGTTTCTGCTGTGGTGGGTCTGTTCTTTATGGGAGCAGAGAAGCGCCGGAGGGCCACTCGCTGGTGAGCCTGACCCAGAAAATCTATCTGGGATTTGATGGGACCTCCAGAACACACGGTTCCCATGCATAGAAAGCTCTTGTTTTCCAAACATTTGTTGTGATGCAGATATTTAAAGTCAGACCCTTCTGTCAGGAAAGAAGAAGCCTCCCATCTGCAAACCCCCAAGGCTGCAAGAGGGGCCTGGTGGCTGCCCTCTGGGAGCTGGGGCTTTAATGGAGACACAAAGTTTGTGCTGGCAAAGGTTTAAAAAAATACTTTTTAGCAGAAACAAGAAAAGATGTGGGTGTGTAAGTGAAGGGGGAGTTGATGTAACAAATGTTTCTCCTCGGGCCTCTCCCCTGTTCAGTGTGGCACCAGGAGGAGTAAATCATGGCTCTGTTTGCTTTGCTGTGGGAAACTAGAGTAACAGGTTCCGGGACCAGGAGTTAGACACGAAAGAAAGTTTGAAGGCCATTGAAGAGAATGGAAAGAACCTGATCTTGTCCCCCCCGCTGCCTCTGTTTTCTGGCGTGTCCCTACAGCTGACTTGACTTGTGTGAAATGAAAGGAGGGAGTTTGCAAGTTTTGGATGCCTGCTCTGCATCAGGGGCTGTGCTGGGTGACTTACATTTCCATTTCATAGAATTTGAGGCTTAGAGAAGAGAAGACCTAATTTAAATGCACGTAAATGCAGCTCCAGATTTTCACCTTGCTTCTCAGGGCAGGGAAATGACTGGTGAGGGGAAAATGAAACCAAGCAGGACTTTGTCAAGGAAGGTGCTACCTAGATTGGACTGGTGGTGTTGCTGCCTTCTAGGGCCAGCCTCTCTGGAAGTTCAGTAGGTAACTTTGGGGACTTGTGAAGGGCACCCAACCCAACTCAATCTCTCCCACTCACTGGCTGCTGCCCAAAATATTCCAGGAAGGAATGAACATTGCATTTGCTTAAAGCTTCAACATCTGTTGAAAGGCTAGCTCTCCCTTCCCCCAAACACCCTTAGGCATATCTTAAACTTTTAGCAGTAATTTATACTTGAGTGTGAATGAATTCCCTCCCTCCCT